TGTCTGATCTATCGTTTGTGTATGCACCCGCTGTCCTTTCTGTTTAATATAATCTGTCGCTGTATTTCTGTTGTCTGTCTTTATTATCAGATATAGCTCTGGTCAGTTATACTCTCTGTTTTCTGAGAGTGCCAATCATCACCTGCCTCATCATCAAACAGCAAGTCCTTTACAGAACGTCGCTCTCTCTCCACGGCACGCCTGTCTAGTTGTCGATATAATTTACCGATTTCGTAAACACACCTGGTTTTACCGTAGCCCACCTGAACCAAGTATGACCTTAACTGGGAATCCCCTGGTTATTTTTAGCAGGTGTGTCAGCAGCTGTGAAAGGGATTTCTCAATTTAGGGCTGACTCCAACACAAGGCGCCGCACAAACGGACCCACGTTGGTCGGCTTTGTTTTGTTGAGGTGCCCCAGTACACTGTTCGGAGCTGCTGCGTTGTGTTGAGTGTGGTAGTGTACACACATGTATGTGCGTGTGTTTGTGTGTGTGAAAGAGATAAATTGGACAGCGTGAGCCTGGGTGGGAGCAAACTGCAAAGAGTTGAGAAACTGTTGGTTTTTAAATATTTGTACTAACTAAAGAAATCTGCAAGTAAGTGTTCTCTTTAATGTTTATAGCTTCATGCTCTTAGTCGTTTAGGGGACATGTGTGGTGATCGACATGGCAGTTACTGTGGCTGCTGCTGACATTTCTGATAATAAAGCTAATGATGACATTACTGCTAATAAAGCTAATGATGACATTACTGCTAATAAAGCTAATGATGACATTACTGCTAATAAAGCTAATGCTGACATTTCTGTTAATAAGGCTAATGATGACATTACTGCTAATAAAGCTAATGATGACATTACTGCTAATAAAGCTAATGATGACATTTCTGCTAATAAGGCTAATGATGACATTACTGCTAATAAGGCTAATGATGACATTTCTGTTAATAAGACTAATGATGACATTACTGCTAATAAGGCTAATGATGACATTTCTGCTAATAAGGCTAATGATGACATTACTGCTAATAAGGCTAATGATGACATTTCTGCTAATAAGGCTAATGATGACATTACTGCTAATAAGGCTAATGATGACATTTCTGTTAATAAGACTAATGATGACATTACTGCTAATAAGGCTAATGATGACATTTCTGTTAATAAGGCTAATGATGACATTACTGCTAATAAGACTAATGATGACATTACTGCTAATAAGACTACTGCTGCTGACATTACTGCTAATAAGGCTAATGATGACATTACTGCTAATAAGGCTAATGATGACATTACTGCTAATAAGGCTAATGATGACATTGACATTACTGCTAATAAGACTAATGATGACATTACTGCTAATGAGACTACTGCTGCTGACATTACTGCTAATAAGGCTACTGCTGCTGACATTACTGCTAATAAGACTACTGCTGCTGACATTACTGCTAATAAGACTACTGCTGCTGACATTACTGCTAATAAGGCTACTGCTGCTGACATTACTGCTAATAAGGCTAATGATGACATTACTGCTAATAAGGCTAATGCTGACATTACTGCTAATAAGGCTAATGCTACATTTGCTGCTGACATTACTGCTAATAAGGCTAATGATGACATTTCTGCTAATAAGGCTACTGTTAATGCTAATGACATTTCTGTTAATAAGGCTAATGATGACATTACTGCTAATAAGGCTAATGATGACATTACTGCTAATAAGGCTAATGATGACATTTCTGCTAATAAGGCTAATGATGACATTGACTACTAATAATAAGGCTACATTGCTGCTGACATTACTGCTAATACTGCTAATAAGGCTAATGATGACATTTCTGTTAATAAGGCTAATGCTGCTGACATTACTGCTAATAAGGCTAATGATGACATTTCTGTTAATAAGGCTAATGATGACATTACTGCTAATAAGGCTAATGCTGACATTTCTGTTAATAAGGCTAATGATGACATTTCTGCTAATAAGGCTAATGATGACATTACTGCTAATAAGACTAATGCTGACATTACTGCTAATAAGACTAATGATGACATTACTGCTAATAAGACTACTGCTGCTGACATTACTGCTAATAAGGCTAATGATGACATTACTGCTAATAAGGCTACTGCTGCTGACATTACTGCTAATAAGACTACTGCTGCTGACATTACTGCTAATAAGGCTACTGCTGCTGACATTACTGCTAATAAGGCTAATGATGACATTTCTGTTAATAAGGCTAATGATGACATTTCTGCTAATAAGGCTAATGATGACATTACTGCTAATAAGGCTACTGTTGATGATGACATTTCTGCTAATAAGCTAATGACTAATGCTGCTAATGATGACATTTCTGTTAATAAGGCTAATGATGACATTACTGCTAATAAGGCTAATGATGACATTTCTGCTAATAAGGCTAATGATGACATTTCTGTTAATAAGGCTAATGATGACATTTCTGTTAATAAGGCTAATGCTGCTGACATTACTGCTAATAAGGCTAATGATGACATTTCTGTTAATAAGGCTAATGATGACATTACTGCTAATAAGGCTAATGATGACATTTCTGTTAATAAGGCTAATGATGACATTGCTGACATTTCTGCTAATACTGCTGCTGTTGCTGCTGACATTTCTGCTAATAAGGCTACTGTTAATGATGACATTTCTGCTAATAAGGCTAATGATGACATTACTGCTAATAAGGCTAATGATGACATTTCTGCTAATGATGACATTTCTGCTAATAAGGCTAATGATGACATTACTGCTAATAAGGCTAATGATGACATTTCTGTTAATAAGGCTAATGATGACATTACTGCTAATAAGGCTAATGCTGACATTTCTGTTAATAAGGCTAATGATGACATTTCTGTTAATAAGGCTAATGATGACATTTCTGCTAATAAGGCTAATGATGACATTTCTGTTAATAAGGCTAATGATGACATTTCTGCTAATAAGGCTAATGATGACATTTCTGTTAATAAGGCTAATGATGACATTTCTGCTAATAAGGCTACTGTTGCTGCTGACATTTCTGCTAATAAGGCTACTGCTGCTGACATTACTGCTAATGAGACTAATGATGACATTTCTGCTAATAAGACTACTGCTGCTGCTGACATTACTGCTAATAAGGCTACTGTTGCTGCTGACATTTCTGCTAATAAGACTACTGTTGCTGCTGACATTTCTGCTAACAAGGCTACTGCTGCTGACATTACTGCTAATAAGGTGTTACTTCCAGGGGCGGTAAGGCAAATGAGGCTAGGCTCAAGTTTTTGTAGATCAATCGATCCTCGTTGGGTAATGTGGTTAGCAGTAATGGTGGCAGCAGCAGTCGTATTAGTAGTGTCAGCAGCAACAGTGGCCTTATTACCACTACCACTGATGCTGCTGTTACTGCCGCTGTTTCTGCTCCTACTACATCTACAGCTGCTACAACCGGTGCTGCCGCTATTAGCTATTTCTGCTACTACTACTACTACTGCTGTAACAATTTGTACTACTACTCTTGCACTATTGTTGCTTTAGCAGGGGGGGGGGGGGGGGAGGGGGGCTGCATGGTTTTGAGGCATGGCATTCGCCTTGAGTGCTGAAAGGTCCAAAGTTCAAGTCCCGGTGAAGAATGGGATTTTTCATATGGACTTCTAGTAATATCCCCTGGTCTCTGGGTGGTAAGATCAGACACCCATGTGTACTATTGGGCACATAAAAAATCCCTTGGCAGTTGGAAATCGAAAAAAGTACACTAGTGGCTCTGCCTGGGCAACATTTTGAGTTTAAAATCTACCTAAAGTATTTCAGGATCCTTGCCACTGCTACAGAGTTTGTGCACTGCACTGAGATTCTAAGATGTTGATCTGTTGTTTAAACCTAAACCTATATTTTTTGTCAGCATTATTTCAGTTTACAGTAGGAAAACATTGCTTTGAATTACATTTATTCATTATCTCTCCCATTGCAGGCGTTACGTCACGGATGATGGGTTGAAGGTTCAATTCTCTGACTGCATTGCCAATTCTACCTCAGTAGGAATTTTGTCCATGAAATCAACTCAGATTGTGATTATTTTTGATCTTGCACGCTAAAGCCACCATATGTTTACAACGACAATGTGGTCGATTTAGGACAGGGATCAACACTTGTCATTGTGTTTTGTGGGGAAATGATGCTCACTTACCAAACATGCGAACATCCAACTATATTTAATGTGTTCATACATTTGAAAGTGCTGCTGGGAAAAAAGCCAACATTTCATCAGAGGTAAAGACCTTCTTACCGAGCCATTTGAGATACTTTGTGGTGGTCTCAAAGTTACAGGGACTGTGGAATTTAGTTTCCATTTATGAGTCTTCATGTGTGTATGTCTTCATAAACTCTGAAAATACTGCTGAAAAACAACAACATATCTTCAGATGCAAGATCATTTTACAAAAACACATAACATCTATGGTGCTATGTGGTTGTGAAATCCGGTCTCTGTGTACTGAGCCTACATGTATCACTGCAATAAGTATACAAACGTGCAGACTTGATATATATTCACTCCCTCTATAAACTGTAAAGAGTGACAAAAACTGTTATAATACGTATTTAGTATACGTGTTTGTGACTCCACATAAGTCATGGTGCTATATCTCATTGATTCATTCATGCGTCTGCTTTGTGGGTAGACCTAGAAATAGAATATGTTGTAGTCTTTCACCTTGCATTGCCAAATTAAATAAAAGTGTATTAAACGATTCGTCAGTGATAATAAAAGTACTAATGACAAAAATTTGGCTGTTTGACATTCATGTGCTTCCAAAATACTGTCATGGCCGCCTGAAAGCTAACAGACTTAGATATTTTTGTGATGAATCTAGAAGAAGTTTCTAAAATGGAGGACTTGAGGCTCGGGCAGTGTGGTTTACAGATGAGTGTGCCATAGCACACATTTGGAAGCACAGTGTCGGAGGGTGCAAGGTTTGAACGATGTACACAGGTCTAGCCTTGACCCTGTCGCGGGTGCGCCTGGATGCTGGGATGTGTGCGACATGTGGGCAGCTGCACGAGGCTCATGGCACACACCTGTATGACTATCATCAGCAGGTAAGACTGATTTTTTTTTTTCTTCGTCTTTTTTATTATCTTCATCTTTTGCATTTTCCATTTTGTTCACTGACTGTAGTAGTTTATGTTCTTTCGACGGATCAGCAACATGGCACAAGGGTAGTAACCCTTAAGTGATCCGTTCTATTTCTAACTCAAGCATGAGTCTGAAGAATCTCAGCACAGTGCAGGAATTTCTTTAAATACTTTAGGTAGATATTAACTTCAAATTTTACCCGGGCAGCACCGTTAGGCTATCTTTTCGATTTCCACCTGCCAAGGAGTTTTTTTTTGGTACTTGCGCAAGAATACACACATGCATCCAATCTTACTACTCAGGGACCAGGGGAAATTACTAGAAGTTCACCTGAAAGAATCCCTGCCTTCACCGGGGCTTGAACCCGGGACCTCCAGCACTCGAGGTGGACACTATACCTTGAGACCACTCAGCCCCTTGCAGTAGTAATGCATGCATGTAATAGCTGTAATCCCTGCTGACACTTTCCATTGCCAAAGATACCTGATTTGACTGGGGGGTCGCGTTAGCTCAGTCGATAGGAGACTCACTTTCAAATCCAGATGTGACTCGCTGCAGCCCACGGCTGGTGTTCAAAACTGGACGGTGCCCAGAATTCACCCAGCCTGTAGATAATAGGTACCAGAGTTAGCACTCTAGGGTAAATAGAGAAACGTAGCTCATGCTACGGAGTTGCATCCGGACAGCGACACAGGCGGACAGTTTCTTATCAGCTGTCCGTACTGGTGGTTGAACACTTACGGTTTATAACTGTGTAGTGATACTGGTTCACATCTCCGGACTTTGCTTTTACTTTTTTTCATTATTGGACTATTCATGATTACTTTTTACTATATATTACAAATATGTCGCTTGGTTTACATCTTGAACATAGCAGAAAGAATGTTTTTTGCAAGTGTTCACCCCTCATGTAGAAACTAAAAAACTGTCAGTTACAAGTACTACAATGCTAGCTGCGCATGCATATTCTTAACAATGAAGTGCTGAGAACATATCACATGATACCTTCTCCAGTATAATGGTTACCCACTAAGGCTTACATGTGCGAACTGATCACACCTTGTCAGCAACTGGCTGTAAACTCTGATGGAAAGTCCTGGTTGTTTATCCACTTCTGGACTTTAGTCTTGTTTCAGGGACATCCCTGGACATCAGGTTTTATCTAACTCATTTGTGTACAGGCTGTTGATTCCTCACCTCTCAGGCAGATGCAGTCTGACTTTGAAGGAAATGACAGTCGTATTTGTTTTGGCCAGGCTCCCAGATAGGAACCTGTTTTTCGGATGACCACAAAGAGGCGTAGACCAGTGTGAGAGCTCTTGTTGATGCACAGTCACAGTGGGCACCTTTGCATAGCTCATTATCTCAGTCATCTTTTGTGCTGTCAGTATCATCTTTGACATCATCTTCGTTTCTATATCTGATCTTTGTTCAAACCCCTCTCGGACTCATCTTGCTGTCCCTTATTTTTTTTCTGCTCGATATACTTCATGGCAAAATGTACTTAAATATGTGTACTGTCTGCGACGCTGCTTTTTGAGAGCCGCCCTTATATAGTAGCGACTGTACACTTGCTTGTGGATCAGAAAGTTGTGAATTCAAATCTGAACAGAGGCAGATTTTGTTTCTTCAGAAAATGACCTTGGCTCCCAGGTCGATCCAGCCTTAAATAGGTACAAAAAAAAGTTGTGGGTATTAAAAGTAGCCTGCCTGAAAGTCTGGGGCTGAAATCTGCATTGAGGCCAGTTAAACAATTTTTATTTTTTATTATTTTTAAAATTTAACATTCTAACCAAAAATAAAACTGACATTGGTCAATCCAGCTTAGCATGGGCACCAGGTTATGTCCTGGAAAGTAAAGATGTTGGCCAAATTGTGCATGCAGAGGGGTGTAACAGAGTATAGGCCTGATAGTATATGTCCGACGCACAACAAGCGTCTTTAGGATAATGGAAAATAAATTATTTTTATTGTAGGAAATATTTTCTGAGACCTAGGGAAAACTCTCTCATGGGAAGTAGGTGGGTTGGTGTTAGGGTCAGTTGTGGATGTTTTGGGGTGGCTAAAAACGCTCACATCGTGGAATACGGAACACTCAATGTCGCCGGCAGCTGACATCAATGTTTTGTGTGTGTGTGGAAACTTTACATGTTGTCGGGAACAAATTACCGATTGGGGTTCTGTTGGGGTGGCCGGGAAAATGGCCAACAATTCTAGATGTATACTGCTGGGTTCACGCATGAATTGGCGATCAGAAATTTTTACACATTAGTAGATTTGGAGAAAGGTCGGAATGTGGCACCTGCTATTGCGACAGCAACAGAGACAGCAGGCTATTGTTATGGTGGCCAGAATGCAACAATGTTGTAGTCTAATGAGTGTCTGTGGGTCCCATTCTGCTGCTTATTTCTATCTTTTGCGGACCTCCACATGCGCTTGATGCATTGCTTATGTGCACCTGTGGTTGGGTCGACAAAATTTATGGAGTGATTAAGGGTTTAATGCGTCAGTCCAGGAATATTCTCAGCTCCATTGTGTGCACGCCACAGGTCTGAGACCACTGTCGTGCCAGGTCTTATTTTTGTGCTAATGATCGGCAGAAGCATCTCTGCTTTTCTGTCTGGAAGACAGAACATAAAGCATTTACCTGTTTTGTGACAGATGCTATCAGATACCCACTGTTGTGGAAACCCCTGTCCCACATGATTTTTCCGCCTTTCAAACATAATTTCATCAATTTCAATAGTGGTGTTCTCTCCGCCGATCACTGCACAATTCAATAATAATGTATTGGCACATACCTCCCGCGTGTAGTTGCTTCACTCCACAGTTGTATTATTCGACATGCCCAGCTCTACATGGCAAAATTGAATGCTTGTCAACTCGTGAGACCAGTAGTATAGAAACAGGATGATCTGTCTATTAGACAAGTGTGACCCTTTCAGCCATGTCCCTTTCCGCAACGGTATGTCCAGATGGCAGGTCGACTTTCGACACCACTATCGGTCTTCTTTTTGCGTCAGTGATAACAGCATCTCATGATTATTGCCACAATATCTGCTGTGATGTCAATTCTTGACTCAACTCAGATAAATAACACCACATAGCATAGACTCTTTTTCTTTGATCCTTCTGTCAGCAAAACTAATACCATGAGGCCAGTAGCCTTGATAAAAGCCATCTTACAGTCCAACTCTCTTTATGTACCATGCAGCTTTGTCTTCATTGAGGTCAGAACAGATCAGATTGTTTCTCTGTTAGCAGCATACTGTTAACAGTCTTGAAGTTCATTTCAGGTGCTTCCAGGTAAGACCTTTGGCCAAAAGAGACACTTGTGGAAGTCAAACTTTACGGGCCGCTTAGTGAATTGCAAAAGACAGTGAAATTCATACTAGAGACAGCTTTGCAGATATAGATAATTTATTTCAAGCGAACGAAAGAAGAAGATTTCAGGTGCCACGTGGCAAGGAGACATGTCCGTAGTTCCTACACTGAAAAACTGATACATATGTTGATGAAATATGTACAGCAAGTGAAATGGTTTGCCCACTTAGAATGCCTTGTGACACCATACCATACATGGAAAGAGAAGAAGGACGTAGAGCACGGGGTAGACCAAGAACAAGATGGAAGGATAACATCAGAGAAACTCTACAACAGTACAATGTGCCTATGGTCGAGGCAGCCAGAAGAGTTAGAAACAGAACCTGATATCTTCCTCGACACCCATAGCGGTAAAAGAGGAAGTGAAGAAGAAGAAGATGAAATATGTTATGCCCTGTTAGAATATATAAGGAGCATTCATTTGAAACCCACTCATACTGCACAGAATTGCCTGCCCTGGACATGATCATGTCATAGTCAAATGATAAGTACTGACCAACTCATGGTGCATAATTCATTGAACATGAATGCTTTGTTTAGTTCTATATCACCTGTTGATGTTTCTCTTATGCTTTTATAATAAAGCAGTTGGAACAGATTTCAAATGAACCCTCCTTGTAGCATGGACTGTAAGACCACAGGTGCAGCCTCTTCACTCTATCCTAACTTGACATTGATCCTTCAGGTTGACGAGGACCTCATGTGCCACATCTGTCTCCAGCCCTTGGTGAGTCCGTTAGATACAGTTTGTGGCCACACGTTTTGCAGCCGCTGCATCCACAACTATCTTGCCTTGCAGCACCAGTGTCCAGTGGACCGGAAGCCACTGGCCATCACTGACTGCCAGCCGTCCAGTATACTTGTTCGCAGGTGAGTGGTTACTGTGTGTGTGTATCTTATGGCAGTTTATCTGAAATATGTTGGAGAGTAAGGTGACAGTTTGTCTTTGTGCAGTTAGAATGTATCTTTTTAACAGGGAATATATACATATATATTTGTGGCTGATCGATAATCTCCGAAAGTTCTTCAGCGAATGCTTTGAAATTTTCACACAGCGTTGCATTCGAATATGTGCTTTTTTATATAAGAGTGTCGCATAAAGTATAAACTACATAGCTCCAGTGATGATCACATCAGCATCTTGGTTTCGTTTTCCGACAGTCCGATTTTTTCTGTTCGTTGCCACATTCCCTGCGCAGTTTTTTTTTCCCTGCTGGTAGTCGAACTTTGACTGTTGTCCTCAGAAATCTGCAGGAATCTATGTGAGATATTTCGTTATAGGGGTGAAGAGTTGTTGAAAGACTGTATGGAAATGTAAATACGTGGGAATAAAAACAAGTTGTAATTAATAGTTGTAGAAATGAAAAGAGCGAGTGGAAGACCTGGGAAAAGATGGAGTGATGGCATTAAGAACAGCCTTACAGAAATGAACATCAGTCTTAATAGTGCTCTTGACAGAGCTCATCAACGAACATTACATCTCCCCCCGACACTTCGATGAGGTACAAGGTGGAAGAGAAGAAGAAGAAGGGATGAAAAGAGAGTTGTTGAACGACTGTTTGAAAATGATAAGATACGGGAATGAGAGATTACTGATTATTGAGGACTATCATCATACCATTTCAGACATATCCATAGGTTCTCAGATCTTTTCTCTGATAGCTACACATGCGCAAAAACCACTAATAACACTCGTTCTGTGGTGAATAATCAGGCGACTCTTGTCCTTGGTGAAATATTATTATCTAGCTGCTCTAGGCTGCACTCCTATATCCATCACCCTCGACACGATCTTCTTCGCGATGTGCATCTCACTTGAGAATTAGCTGTACACACATGCCGTGATTGTAACTGACTCACAGAGCATGTTGAGAAAGGTGGAGACAGGCATGCTCCATGCAGAGTAGCAAGCATCACTTCGAAGGTCCCGGGTAGTTAGCATCCTTTGGATATATTCTCTCCACGTTATGCCGGTGTGTTGGGAAATGAGCATGCAGATAGACTGGCCAGTTCTGTACCACTTGGTGGTTAAACTGATATATGACAAGCTGGATGTTGTGAGGGCCCTTTTGGAGCGGGTGAACAGTGCCAAGGAGCAGACAAATCATTACTGTCTGAGGGGAATTGCACTGCGAGGAGTTACAAAGTGATCTGACCAACATTTAACACTCAAGGGAAGGGCGAGACGGATATACCTCAGACAGTTATTGGTACCATCGGAATTTTAACTCTTCGCTTGCTGTTGAAGATGGGGACTGGGCACTTATGGGGGTGTCCCGAATGCTGTGATGTTGATTCTTAATTCAACATTCTTAGTCTTATATTAACCTGGAAAGTGTTGTGGCTTCCTTTCCAATGCGGTTGTTATTTTCTGTCTCTTATGACAGGTCGTTTGATATTGTAGATCCCGGATTCACAAACTCATTGACCTGCTTTAGTTTTTAATGAGAAATGTGTACTGATGGAGACAGAACATTGTCTTGTCCCATCACCTTTCTTTTGTTTAGACCAGCGGTTCTCAAACTGTGGGTTTGAGTTGAACGACCCTTTCACAGAGGTCGCCTAAGACCATCAGAAAACACATATTCATTGAAGTTATGAAGTAGTAATGGAAATAATTGTATGTTTGGGGGTCGCTACAACAGGAGGAACTGTATAAAGGGTCACGGCATTAGGAAGGTTGAGAACCACCGGTTTAGGCTGATAGTCAGCCCACAGTCTCTGCAGGAAAACCGAACCGTTGAGATACTGAGTGCTGCGTCTGCAAACTTTAATTCTGGGTGTCTTGGTTTTATTGTGGTCTTCAGCCTAAGCCTCGATGGGTTAAAACAGAGGTTAATGAAAGATGTGATTTTTTTTTTTTTTAAACCATAAAAGGCGACATCGGTAATGAAGCTTTTGGACAAGGCAGACAGTCTAAAGACTGTGTAAGAGTGAATGGAAGATGTGATACTAGATGAAACAATAAATGTAAACTTGTATGAATTTGGAATTAATAAGGATAATTGCTGCAAGACACAGAGCAGCTATGTGTATGCCGGGTAGATTTTCTTGGTGGGGTGGGGGGGGGGGGGGGGGGGGGGGCATGATGGCCTTTGGTCCACTCTTGTTTTGTCCTGAGTTTAGCAGTGAATTGTTTTTGATGGAGGTAGTATAATTGATCACAGAAACTCTTCTTTCGCGTTCATCCGAAGACGTAAATGTGTTGTGCCCCTTTCTAACATGCTGCGATTTTTGCGGCCGACACATCTGACTTCTGTAGGCATTTGTTGTACAGGCTAACCTTCCTGGGGATCATGGAAACTTAGTTACTGTTCCACTGATGTTAGAAAGAGGAATTGCAGTGTGAACAACTCAATGTTATGCCAGGGCCGACCAGGCGCCTATTCTTCTCTGGCAGCTTGCATAGGAGGGAAGCTCCGATTGTGACGGAGCCCTGTTTTTGAGATTCAGCACCTTCTGCAACATGTCTTGTTCTCAGCGTATTGGTGTTACCTTTTCCTGTAGTTAACAAAGCAGGCAGAGGTCGTGGGCAGTGTTGGGTTGTGGGACACAAAACAAATAATTGACTCACTGCTTCCCCAAAAAGCATGTCGTAAAAATCAGCTAATAACGAGAGCTTCCTTCGAAGTCGAAGTGCATCTGCCTGAGAGGAAGGAATGAACAGTCTGCCTACAAATAAGCCAGACTTGTTTGAACAGATGGGCACGCAGACTTCAAGTTCTGAAAAAAGACAATCCAGAAGTGGACGAACAGCAAGAACTTCCCGCCGCAGTTCACAGCTGGTGAAGGTTGGCAGCTGCTCTAGGATGGAAGCTCCGACAGGCGGACGGTAACTCCAGCAGCAGGCCTTGTTCCAATTGTGCTGGTGTTATCTTTTCCTGGGGGTTAACAAAGGAGGCAAAGATCATGCTGCAAGGCAAAACATGGCTGCAGCTGATGGGCGTGCTGCTGACGTCACAAGGTCGGGCTAACAATGCGTTAATGCAGCGGTTTTCAAACAAGAAATAAACTGTTTTCGAGAGTCGCGAGGGAAGACGAACTTGAATTTTAACTTTTCAATATCTACATGGCTTCTTTAATAACTTCACAATTTTTAGCCGACTTTTCTGGATTATTGCCGCGGCACCCCTGGCATACGCTCACGGCCCCCCTGGCATACGCTCACGGCACCCTAGAGTGCCTCGGCAAGCAGTTTGTGAACCGCTGCGTTAACGCATCGTTAGCCCGACCCTGTGATGTCAGCAGCACGGCCCGTCAGCCGTCACCTGGAGCCGGTCGTGGTTTCTGCAATACTGCCAAGTCTTTGTCGTATTCCACCACCGGGAGCTATATTCTCATGCCCACCTGTAGCACAGTGGAACACTATGGTCTGGGAAGACAAAAGAGAGCCAACAGTATGTCCCATAGCAGATAACTGTCACTGGGATGTGTTTTTAAAGGGTTAGACAATTATAGTGAAGAAAAAAAGTTGGTAAGAAAAAACAAACAGTTTATGTTAGCTTTACAAAATTAATCACAATAAACAAACAAAGGACGTTTCGGCGATTAGCCTTCATCAGCACATAAAGATCAATACAGAACACATACACACATATGCTCTAACTATGAAGTGACTACATGGGACTAATGTACACAGTAAATGATACTCATCTGTGTCCCTGGCGAAAAACTTCCTTCAAGAGAATGTCAAGGACAGGTACTGGCCTATTTATCACCAACGCACGGACGAGGAGCAAAAAACGGGTTCACTATAACTAGGAAATGGACGGAGTAGACGCCCACACTGAGTGTGTAAAGAGGGAGGGGTTGGCCAATAAGGCGTGACCCGGGTTGGGTCGTGGGGATGTTTGTTTTAGTAGTGAAGTATTAGCGTTTCTCATACTCATATATATCGTCAACAGTCAACAGGTCCTCCACGGAACCAGTCGCTCTCGTCAGTGCACACCTGAAAGTCTTTCCTTCTCTAGCCAGTTGTCCACAGGTCTGCAAACACACTGAACAAAATGTGTGTCCCATCAAATTCATTCTACATCTTTTGGATTTTTTGCTCTCTCTCTCTCTCTCTCTCTCTCTCTCTCTCTCTCTCTCTCTCTCTCTCTCTCTCTCTCTCCTCTTTCTTTCTTTCTCTACTTCCATATTTCTCTCTTTCTCGCTCTGCTTTCTCTCTTTACCTCTCTTTTTGTTTCTGTTTATCTGTCCCTCTTCCCTTCCATTCTCTCTCTACTTATCTGTTTCTCTCTCTGTTTCTCTCTCTCTCTCTTCTCTTTGCTTTCTGCTAACCTATTTCTCTCTCTCCATAGTTCACTCTGTTTCTCTATGTTTCTTTCTCCTCCCCTCTTTCTTTCTCGTTCTACTTCTCTTTTCCCTCTCTGCCTCTACATTGTTCTTTCTTTCTAAATTTGTCTATCTCTTCCCCTATTTCTTTCTCTCTTGACTTTTATGTTTCTGTCTTCTCCTTTTTCTTTATCTCTATATTTCTCTCTCTCTCTCTCTCTCTCTCTCTCTCTCTCTCTCTCTCTCTCTCTCTCTCTCTCTCTCTCTCTCTGAAAAAAAGGGGGGGGGGGGTGGGCTCAAAGGACCTGAGCTACAGAATCCATCGCCTTTGGCCTGTATGTCTGTCCGTCCAGTCGTCAATCTGTTTGTTCAAACATAAGTCTTTTTATTTTTCTTTCAAGTGATATGAACAAGGAGCGAGTTTGGAATTTTTCTTTTCTATATACTGAACTGAATTTCAAGTGACAGCGATTTGACTTCCATTATGGGTGCAAATGTCTGAGATAGTGCGTGCGTTTATGTTTGTATATATGTGTGTTTGTGTCCGTGTATTATGTTTTGCGAATGTTTAGAAAACATCTGTGTGTGTGTGT